AAAAACTTGGAAGGGAGCTTACGATCAGGAAGGAAGGATAGAGCTTTTCCAAATTTCAAACTTTGACAAGAGAAAAGCCAGTCCTCCCCGTGGCCTTCAAAACGAAACGAGAAGCCCAAGCCCTCTACCTTACCCTGCTGTGAAGCAGGAAGAGAACTCACTCCAAGATATTTTGGTAAGCGACGAGAGCTTTATTTGAGCAGAGAGAGACTTTACCTCTTGGTAAGTCGCTTTTATCTTAAGAAGATTGAAGAGACTTCGCTCCTAGCAAGAGAAGCCAGGGCTCCCCTTGCTTCCAAAAAGAAAAGTCTTCTACTTCATCCTCCACAAGAAATGATTGAGAGCTTCCTCCCATGTAATGAGACGGGAGAGAGGTCCATCTCAGCACAGCAGACAGGCCCCTTCAACTTCACCAAAGACAAGAGAGCTCCATCTACCCCTGCGTCGGCAAGAAATCTTTTTCCTTGAAGTTCTGCAAAAACACAGATAAAATCACAGCTCACAAGGGTGTCGCCCCAAGATTTGTACAGACTCAGATCCCAAAAACCCAGATCGCAAGGGATATCCCCCTAAGGGTTCGTTGAAACAACAAGTTCCAAAACAATAAATCGCAAGGGGTGTTTCCCTAAAGCTTTTTATAACAAATGAATTCCAACGCCACAAATCGCAAGGGGTGTCCCCCCCAAGGTTTTGTAAGAACTCAGATCCCGAAATCACAGATCGCAAGGGGTGTCTCCCTAAGGTTTTGTGAAAACTCAGAACCGAAAACCACAGATCGCAAGTGGTGTCCCCCTAAAGGTTGTTATAACAAATAAGTTCCAAAATCACAAATCGCAAGGGGTGTCCTCCTAATCCCTGCGAGCAGAAAGCCTGTAAATACCGCGTTAAAACTACGGCCAGGGATCCCACACATCTGCGGGCAAAATCTGGCGGAAGTGATCCGCCACCGAGCCAAAAGCCTGTAAATACCGCATTAAACAAAGGGCCACGGATTTCGCACATCTGTTGGCAAATTCTGGCGGAAGTACCGACTGCTCACTTCCGCCAGATTTTGCCAACAGATGTGCGAAATCCCTGGCCCTTTGTTTAATGCGGTATTGACAGGCTTTTTGCTCGGTGGCGGATCACTTCCGCCAGATTTTGCCCGCAGATGTGTGGGATCCCTAGCCCTTGAAGTGGTGGGTGAGAGGGTGGTGGGAGGGTGTTTGGGAGGTAGGGTGGGCAGGAGGTGGAGGGAAGGTTGTGTAAGAACTCAGATCACAAAATCACAGATCGCAAGGGGTGTCCCCCTAAGGTCTTGTGAAAACTCAGATCAGAAAACCGAAGAGCGCAAGGGGTGTCCCCCTAATCCCTGCGAGCCGCGACCGAGCAGAAAGCCTGTAAATACCGCGTTAAAACAACGGCCAGGGATCCCACACATCTGCGGGCAAAATCTGGCGGAAGTGATCAGCCACCGAGCAAAAAGCCTGTAAATATCGCATTAAACAAAGGGCCAGGGATTTCGCACATCTGTTGGCAAATTTTGGCGGAAGTACCGACTGCTCACTTCCGCCAGATTTTGCCAACAGATGTGCGAAATCCCTGGCCCTGTCTTTAATGCGGTATTTACAGGCTTTTTGCTCGGTGGCGGATCACTTCCGCCAGATTTTGCCCGCAGATGTGTGGGATCCCTAGCCCTTGAAGTGGTGGGTGAGAGGGTTGTGGGAGGGTGTTTGGGAGGTAGGGTGGGCAGGAGGTGGAGGGAAGGTGTGTAAGAACTCAGATCCCAAAATCACAGATCGCAAGTCGTGGTGTTCCCCCTAAAGGTTGTTATAACAAATAAGTTCCAAAATCACAAATCGCAAGGGGTGTCCCCTAATCCCTGCGAGCCGCGACCGAGCAGAAAGCCTGTAAATACCGCGTTAAAACAACGGCCAGGGACCCCACACATCTGCGGGCAAAATCTGGCGGAAGTGATCCGCCACCGAGCAAAAAGCCTGTAAATACCGCATTAAACAAAGGGCCACGGATTTCGCACATCTGTTGGTTTACAGGCTTTTTGCTCGGTGGCGGATCACTTCCGCCAGATTTTGCCCGCAGATGTGTGGGATCCCTAGCCCTTGAAGTGGTGGGTGAGAGGGTGGTGGGAGGGTGTTTGGGAGGTAGGGTGGGCAGCAGGTGGAGGGAGTGTGAAGTGGGAGAAAGGGGGGGTGGGGGTTGGGACGCTGGGTGGGCGCTGAGGGTCGGTGGGTGGCAGGGATGGGTGAGGGAGGGTAGGTGGGGTTTTACTTCCCGGCCCCATTTAAGTAATTTAAATAATTTAAATCCTGGAAAAGGGCCGGGACCCCCGGAATTAATTAATTTAAATCCAGGGGGTTCCCCCATATTTAAATTATTTAACTCCCTGCCCCGGACCCCGCCCACACCCCCTCCCCCAGGATTTAAAATATTTAAATTATTTAAATTATTTAAATTATTTAATTCCCGGCCCCAATTAAATAATTTAAATAATTTAAATAATTTAAATAATTTAAATAATTTAAATCCTGGGGGAGGGTCCCGGGGCCCCGGAACCCCCCCCAGACCCCCTCCCCAGGATTTAAATTATTTAAATTATTTAAATTATTTAAACTATTTAATTCCCGGCCCCAATTAAATAATGTAAATAATTTAAATATGGGGGAGGCCCCCGGATTTAAATTATTTAAATTATTTAATTCCCGGCCCCAATTAAATAATTTAAATAATTTAAATAATTTAAATAATTTAAATCCTGGGGGAGGGTCCCGGGGCCCCGGAACCCCCCCCAGACCCCCTCCCCAGGATTTAAATTATTTAAATTATTTAAATTATTTAATCCCCGGCCCCAATTAAATAATTTAAATAATTTAATAATTTAAATAATTTAAATCCTGGGGGAGGGTCCCGGGGCCCCGGAACCCCCCCCAGACCCCCTCCCCAGGATTTAAATTATTTAAATTTTAAATTTTAAATTATTTAAATTATTTAATTCCCGGCCCCAATTAAATAATTTAAATAATTTAAATAATTTAAATCCTGGGGGAGGGTCCCGGGGCCCCGGAACCCCCCCCAGACCCCCTCCCCAGGATTTAAATTATTTAAATTATTTTAAATTATTTATTTAAATTATTTAAATTATTTAATTCCCGGCCCCAATTAAATAAATTAAATAATTCAAATAATTTAAATAATTTAAATCCTGGGGGAGGGTCCCGGGGCCCCGGAACCCCCCCCCAGACCCCCTCCCCAGGATTTAAATTATTTAAATTATTTAAATTTTATTTAATTCCCGGCCCCAATTAAATAATTTAAATAATTTAAATAATTTAAATCCTGGGGGAGGGTCCCGGGGCCCCGGAACCCCCCCCAGACCCCCTCCCCAGATTTAAATTATTTAAATTATTTAATTCCCGGGCCCAATTAAATAATTTAAATAATTTAAATATGGGGGAGGCCCCCGGATTTAAATTATTTAAATTATTTAATTCCCGGCCCCAATTAAATAATTTAAATAATTTAAATCCTGGGGGAGGGTCCCGGGGCCCCGGAACCCCCCCCAGACCCCCTCCCCAGGATTTAAATTATTTAAATTATTTAAATTATTTAATTCGGGCCCGGGACCATCCACCGAACAGACCCAGGATATAATCGCCATCTGCCTGTCTATATTAAATACTATAGGCGTGAAAACCCACAGTTTCAGCTGGCGATAATACCCCATTTAAGCCGCACACCCCCCCCCCCCCCCATGCCCAATTGATGTCTGCCAAGAAAGAAACCTAGCTTGCCTTGCCGAGAATGCACTGCAACCAGAAGGACTGCCTCTGGCGCCCGGCCCCCCTGGCCACCCCTTGGCCCCCCCTGGCCCCCCCTGGACCCCCCTGGCCCCCTCGGCCCCCCTGGCTCTCTACCTGGCCAGTGTGCTCAACAGACAGACCAGGGACAGTGTCGCGATCAGACCCTCGGCGTCTGCGTCTTCTGGTTGATTTTGGGGGACCCCCGAAAACTTTGACAAATCGGCGATCCTAGAGCTTGAGCACGCGCGGCATTGAGAGAGCAAGCCCGCCTGCGCCACTTGCGGTGAAGTCATTTCACAACGACCCTGCGAACATCTGCCTGGGACAAGCCAAGCAGTGCCATGCCGGGAGCCGAGATGCGCGGGTAGCCGACTTAGACTTAGCAAGAGCAGAAGAGGAGCCGCAGAGCTGGATGATGGGCAAATAGCATGACCAACGGGGGACATACTTCAAGCAGTGGCGAGAAGCACATGGTGAAGTTCGAAGTCGTCTGGAGCCCGTTAAAAGAGAGTGGATCAAGCCACATCAACCGCGAGGAGGCGAGGAGCACAGCAGCCGCTTCCTCCAATCAGGAAGGGAGAACCCAGAACGGCCACGTCTTACACAGCCTCCAGCGGGACGAATTCTCCTGGACGCGAATGCGGGATGCTCACATGGAACGTCGGGCGAGTTGAAGACACGGTGCTGATCTGCACTGCTTCGACCGCCAGGCGCTTCCACACTGGCAGCTTGTATCTGGGAGAGTTCCGGGGGGGAGCGATAGCCAGGGCGATTTCAAGCCACATGACATTGCGCACCATCCAGCAGTCAAGAGTGTGGTTGGGCACGCAAGGACTGCCGAGGCAGTGCCAGGCCGCTACAGCCAGCTTCACGCTGCTCAAACCTGCGCGAACAATTGAAGCATATTGAAGCACAGGACCCGATGCTGTTTCACGTGAATGCCAGGCACTATTGGCCGACGCATGAAAGGAGCTAATGTACTCAATGACATGATATACAGGTTACACACAGCTCGCATTCCCGGGCGAGCTCGCGAGCTCGGAGCTGAACATCCTCCCCAAGATCCCCACCAGCGAAAGATCACACGTGCGTCCGTCAGCAAAGCGAGAGTCATGCGTCGTTGCGCCGGCACTGCAATCAACACTCCTAAGCGCGCACCGGCGAGTTTCTGTCTCAAGACCTTGCTGTCCGACTTGGTGCAAGGACCTCCAACAGCCGACAGGCACGTCAAGGCGCCAGTCCGAGTGGCTTGGCAGAAGCGGCGGCCCAAGATAGACTTGTGACGTGTGCTCATCGAGGCACAGCCTCCTGCAAGACGTCGCTGATGCTGATCACTTCCTGTGCTGCACGCCTCGCTTCGCTTCGCTGAGATCTCTCTCTCTCTCTCTCTTGAACACCGTGCTTCTGGAGATGCCAGGCCCTTGGCTCTCCCACGCTGCATCTTGGCTTTGTGCCACGTGGGCGACTGAAAGCCTCAGAGTCAAAGACTCGCGAGAGTGCTTTCGGGGATTCGGTTGGTTTGAATCCTTTTCCAGGTGCTGGCTGCATTGCTCTGCACAGCGGCTGCGTGCAGTCGTCAGGTGTCTTACCTGCTCCGTGCGTTCGGGTTTCCTCTCCTTTTCGGGTGGCGGTGCTGCCGGGCCACTGGCAGGCCGTCCCGGCAGTGATGCTAACCATCCTCGTGGCGTCCCACTCCTAGTTGTGCCTCACGGGCTCTGCGCGGTCTAAGACGTTGGTTGAAGTGGCCTCGCACTGGACATGTGTGGTTCCATGAACCTCAGAAAGAGCCCCCCCGAAGGTCCGCGATGTACTTTCATCACCGACGTTTGTCTTTGGTGCAGCAGTGGGAGTCCCAGGTTGCACAGGTAGACTTTGCTCTGAGCACGGACGTTTTCGAGGCTTCGCCGGTTTGCCAATCGCAGCGAAGCAGCTGCGGTCATGGGCACAGCCTGGAAAGGCCACGGGCCACGTCGCAGTTGCCACAGTCGAGGCCTTGCAGTTGCTGCACCTCACCGAGTGTCACGAGGCACAGGGAGACGCCGATGCCCTCTCGGCCCTGGCTTTCGATGCTTCCCTTTTCGCACTTTGTCGAAGGCTTTATGCCTTCATGGCCATGGCGACGCCCTGTGGAAGAACTACGAGGCCGAACGGAACAAGAAGTTCCGCCAAAGCAAGCTCTGTAGAGCATGTACGAGTGTTCAAGCGGCGCTCTTTAAAGGCCGAACTCGCGCGTCATGTTACCTGAAGCAAGGCTTGTTGTAAAGATGCTGCACTGGCCGGGCTTGCATCCGACGCTGCGGAGAGGCCTTTACAGAACGTCGGGTGAGGGCATCTCGAAACCGTCTTGAGTTCCCCGCATCTCGAGTCTTTCACAGCCTGTTGCTTGTCTTGAGTCTTGACCGTCTTCAGGTAAAAACATCTCGCCAACCCGTTAACGGCCAGGTGGCTGTACAGCTGCCTCCACGTTTTGGTCGCGCTGCTGCTTGGACTCTTATCCTTCTCAGCCATGACCCAGGCACCGATCACATATATATATATATATATATATATATATATATATATTATATATATATATATAGATATATAGATATATATAGATATATATATATATATATATATACATATACACTGTAATTTATTTCCAGTGGTTCCAAGTGGACAAACAGCGGCAACGGCCTGCGGCCTGCAGGCACAGAGCCTCCCTTCCGACTTTGGCTTTGCTGTTGCTGTGGCCTCTGTGGTCCAAGCCGCGGCCTCCGTGGCCTCCGTGTGCAGACCTGGGGGGGTCGAGACTCGGGCGGCTCCAGGTGGCCTTGGTGCCGGATGCCCTGATCGAGTTTGTGAAACACGGAGTCCGGAGCACAGCCTCACAGAAGCTCACACCAGTTCAAACGGACTCTGCCGCACGACGCGGAAAGCAACTCGCCAAGATCTCGAGCACGTAGCTCACCTACTTGCATAGCTTACTTGCATACATGCCTGTCGCACATGGACATGCCAATATGCATGTGAATGTGAATGTGTATGTTTAACATGGAGGGCTGTCACGTGCCGGTCTTGTTCTTCGGTGTCGCCCATTGTGGCCGCTTCGAGGCTCAGCTGACGCACGGCTTGGCCGCTCTGCGTCGGATGGCGCAGACTTGCAAGGTGCGGTTTTCGAGCTGCATATGGCTGTGCTGCGCAGGTAGCTAGCAAAGGTGGGATGGGTTGATGGTAACCGCTTCTTGCATCAACCTCCACTTAAACAGACGATACGTGCATTGGGCTGCTTTCCCTTCTTGCACATGAAGAGTGAAGCCGAAGAGTATTGCCGCTCCTTGTGCGACTTCAGTTCTTCTTTTCTGAATGTGCGCTTTGACGGTCCAGCGGCCATCGTGTCACCAAAGTCCACATGCGCTGCCTTGCATGCCAACAGCGCGCGAGGAAGCTGCTTTCGAAGAGCTCGAAAGCCCGATTGCGACTCTGGAGATTGAGAGCCGAGGCATGACCGGACTCCCACACCGGTGACACAGCACATCACTCGTCCGTGGCTCCTTTGAGGTCTCAAGCCCGCGGCTGCGGCGCTGGTGTCCCGGAGCGGCAAGGCTCGCATGGCTCAGCCTGTCTCGTGACTTGAGATAGCTGCCGGAGGTGGCTTTGGGAGACGTGCTCATCGAAAATGAGAACCTTGCCGAGATTGCGGAACCGCAGGCGGCGTCATGTTCGCATGTTGTAGCCACGGCTTTGCCAATCAGCCCAGGTGCCATCCCAGTCCCAGTCCATCTCTCATGCCGGATTTCCCATGGAAAAGGTGCAGCAGTGCAGCACGCATGTCAATTCACGAAGATTGCCAGAAACCGCAGGTTCCGGGCGACTGGCCTTACTTCGGTGCCATTGAGTTCGAGAAGGTTACAGTGAGGCACGGCATGGCACCTGCTTGGAACTGGAGTGGCCCTGTGGTGCATGCTGAGAAAGGTATGGCCCAGGCTTGTCGCCGGCTCTTTCAAGCTGCTCGTTGGTGCTACCGGCTGGGAAGGTGACCATGCTGGGAACATGACGGTCATGCGCCTGAGCTGGGTGTGGGCAGGCACTCCTGGTCACCGGTGCGAAAGGCTGTGGCAAGTCATCGCTTCTCAAAGCCGTCCTACGGTGCTGCTACATCGAGGCACCTGCGAAAGACGTGCATTCTTGCATGCCTGCGGGGCTGCGTGCCCACAATCGCACACGTAAATGCAGCCAGTAAGTGTTGTTGTGTAAGTGGTGCAGAACGCGAAACATGCTGCTTGCAGCTTTGTTTTCCTGGTAATTCCATGCCAAATGCAGTCGGGCCGAGTGGTGCTGGATGCAGTGGATGTCCGCTGCGTAAGCTTGGCCACGCTTCGAGGCTGGGTGGCTAATTCGGCGCGCGGCAAAACGTAGAAATTTACAGTATGCTCAGCGATTCAGAAATAACTTGTGCGACGTCATTGTAGGCGTGAAAGTTAACTTCTCGAGCTCCAGTGTTCTTTTCCCCCTGCCTCGTGTCACCAGGAAGAGTGGCCGTCGTCCCACAGGACGATTCTGAATTCGCTCTTGGATTTCTGTGAGGTCATCAGCCTCACCAGCTATGCCTCGAGAGTCAAGTGTCGCTTGCACCAGGAGCTATGCATCTTCCATGGGAGTTGGAGGCAAAATTTGGATCCCATGGGCGAATTCGAGGAGGAAGCCGGTAATTGTTGAGACGAGCAGGGCAAGCAGCAAGCGTGTCCCAACAGGATGAGCTAAAGCGAGTCCTGCGTCTAACACGCCTGGAAAATTTCCTCCTCCGCACGGCGTCGGAGGCTTACGTGCGCCCGCTGCCGTCACAGGCTTACTCACGTCGTCGTCTCACGGCGAACGTAAAGCCTGACACAGGTGATTCCCGTCTTTGAGGCAGCTGTGTGGTTATACAGAATGTGATCATTCCGCTACTGCACTTCCCCATGCCGCGCCACACCCAACCCACCAAGGGAGGGCAATCCTTGCAATCATGTCAGGGGGAAGGAAAGGGCGTGCAATGGGAATCGCGGTGTGCGGTAGGCTCCGGTCACTCACGTGAGAACATGCGAAAGGTTAGGTCAAGTTGGATCAGGCTTGCTGCAAAGAGCGCTCTCTGTCTGCGGATGAGCCCACTCTGTTTGTAGAGTGCTTGGTTGCGTTTGGATTTGCAGCCTCTTTCAAGATGCATCTTGATTCTATCATCTGTCGCATGTCGAAAAGGGGTTGGAAGGTCGCTGAAGTCTTCCAGGGTAATCTAAGGTCCGATCTCGATGCTGCCATCGCCCCCGAGGCGGGCGGGAACTGAGTCAGCGCAAACTTCAAGGTTCGCATCGTGGCGGATTTGAGGGTTGTCGGCCTGGGTGAAGCTGATCGGTTCAGGTGCGGGTACCCACACATGCTTGAATGCCCAAGGGTCCTTCGGCGAGTAACCCAAGCAGCCCCGCCGGCATCACGACAAGACATGAAGACTGCAGTTAGCAGACCGGCGGAGGTGTTGGAGCCCGGGCCTGCCGCAGCTTCCGCAGTGCTGCTGTGCCTGTGCCGGGCACTGCTGCGCCTCCTGCAGGGGCCGGACACCCCGGACACCCGATAGCCAGCTGACAGCTGCCAGCGGGGAGGGGTCACACCAGACTGAGGCGATCGAAACTCTTGATGATGGACGCGGCCACTTGCCGCTTCAACCCAGCCTCCGATGCAGCTTCTCAGCTACGGGTAGAGTCCTTCCGCGAGATGCCGGAACAGACCTGTGACAGTGACAGGACTTGACTGCCATCATTCTGCGGTACTGCCGTCGCCGTGGAGCAGCCATGCTGCAGGCTTCGCGTTCTGGTCAAAGATGATGCTGATACTTGCGCCTGCAACTGCGCAAGGTCAGCCAACGCGCTCAGCAAGCGCCGCTCTACGACGAGGCGAGGGGTTCGCTCCTAGCAGCAGAAAGAGAAATGAAGGCCCTGTCGTGCACGGTAGCCTGCACTCCCGGCACCGCAGCCTAGCTCGAACCGTAGCACTTTGAGGTCGCTGTGATGGCCACAGGCCGAGTGGTGGAGCAGGGCCCAGCCAAGAAGCTCTGGGCCGCTGGGACTAGAGACGAAGAAGGGCCGGGCCGACGGTTTCAGGCTTGAAGCTTCGAGCTGCCCTTCTCTTTGTCTCTCCTTCCCCCTCCCCCTTGCCCCCAGATATGGAACCCCCCTTCAGAGGAAGCATCTGGGTGCAGTGAGGCCCGAAGGACCTAATGACTTGCCCTCGCACGGACAGCAGGTTGCTTTCACAGCCCACAAACAGAGAGAGAGCCATGGTGTCTTGAACCACTTCAGAGGAAATAGGCAACGGAATATAATGTGATCAGCGGCCCTCACTCCCTTGGTGTGGTGTGGTGTGGTGTGGTCCGGGAGTATCTGCTTGTTGCGGTTCGGGTCTGCTTTGGGTGTTTGGCATAACCAGCCCTATGGATCGTACAGTTTCTTTGGTTGGTCGTCGGGTGTCTTCTGCTCACGTGCCTGGTAACGATTATCGCTTTATTGATCGCAGGGCCACTATCTTCGTGACAGTTGCCGTTTTGGGTGCAATTGCCATAAGGTTGCAATGGGCCAGTTGTCGCAGGGATCGGGCCTGTCAGGGAACGCGGTCCTCGTGACAGAACCTCACGTCGGAGTCGTTTTCGTTTGGGAAGCCACAGTCACAAGGATCGGGCATGTCATGCATGGCGTGCGTCCCAATATGCATTGCAGTCAGCATTGTGTCGAAGATCGAGTTCGTCAGATGGTTCACCGGAGGGTGACTGGTCTTGCTCTTCAGTCGAAACATCGTTGAGCATTCTTTCCAAGACGCTTTGCAGTTCGCTGTTACGACATTACAACTGCCATTGACAACCGTTTGGTTGACTCTAAAGACAGTATTGCGGAGACCGTCGCATTCTAAACTCCTCTTCCACTGGGACATTCCGACCCGGCGGGGAACATTTTAATTGCAACCCCTTTTGTTAACACCACTCTTACGTTGCTCAACTCCACCTTTGGCGGCAAGCCTTTCACGGTCCAGTGCTTCTTTTTGCAAGGTCACTATGCCGGAAAGCCTCGTCTTGAGAGACGGTCCTCTGTTCTTTCTGTCCAACGTGCTGATGTCGCACCAGTCGTCGATGAGCTGCTCATATTCAAACCACGAAGTGTTACCCGAGATGGCTGAGCATTTCGTCAGTCGACGCACATGATTGAGCGGGATAAGACGCTGGCCCTTGAGAGGGTTTGTTGTCAGAGTAACCTCCGGAGGAGTAGTTGTTGGGAGTTGTTGTTGCCGTCATCGCCACCGCTATGGGAGGATGACATAGCGCAACCTCGCCCCGCCTCAGGAAGCGACTGTCCGGAGCCGTGGGGCGAGCCCAAAACGGCTCCGCTACAACAAATTGCCCCCAGATATGGAACCGTTTTTCAGAGGACAAATCTGGGTACAGTGAAGTGGACCTGCACGGACAACAGGCTGTTTTACCGTCTGAGAGTGAGATGGGCACCACCGGAATACATACATGTCAGTATGGTGGCAGGAGTGACAAAAATGCCACCATGCGATTGTTGTAGACACCTATGCAGAATGCATACAGACCGCCTGAAACCGTCTGGGATTTATAGTTTCACCTCCTCTCCCCTTCCTCCTCTCCCTGTCCATGTCCATGTCCCTCTCCGTCTGCCTCCGCCCTCTCCCTCCCCCTCCCTCTCCCTCTCCCTCTCCCTCTCGTTCTTGAGCAAATCGTAAAATCAGCCCGACACCTCTAGGTCAAGGACGGGGCCCTTCGCCGTGTGGCCAAAGATCAAGGCGCCGAGAGAACAAGAACATAAATTTGGAAGGATGTGCTTTGCTATGCTCTGCTGCTAACCTGTCGTGCGACAACTGAAGGCCTGGATTCGTCAAAGATGACGAAGCCAGATGTCCTTGCCGCGCGGCTCATGCCTGTTTGGGGCTGGGAAGTGCTGGGCCCAGAACCGTGCGGCAGCCACGATCGACCTTGGACCACCCTGCGTCGACGACCCAGGTCAGTCCGCAAGAAGATCCAGCTTTCAGCGACGAATTTGCCGTGTCCATGAAGAAGGCACGACATTGTCGTTACTGTACTGCTCTGGCCGATGTGTCTCTGAGCTGATGCACTGATGCACCCCATCGTCTCTTGTCGACGAGTTGGGGTAGGCCGTGTAAGCCCAGCCAGGCTAAAGCAAAGGAACCCCAGCCTTACGGGTAGTTGGACTGTCGCAAGCGACCCTGGAGCTGCACGAAACGAGCTCGCCACTTTGCCACCGCAGGCCAAGGGCTGAGGCGCTGCTCAGCGGCTCTCTGTGAGGCTAAGGATGAATTGCCTTGTTAAGCATCTGCCAGGCGCCAATCCCATGCAGTTGTCTCAGCTTGAACAGCCCATGTGTTGGTTGACTAAAGACCAGTGCAGCTGCGATTTGAATATCAACTCCACTCGCTGCGATTGTGTGGGCCCCGTCTGCACGGCGTTCATCGTGCATTAACCGTACGCGAAATGCATCGAAATGCACTTTCGGTGCTTTGCAAAGTACGTACGACTGAAGTGAAATTACTTCACTTGGCAGTTCGGGGGTTTGACGCTTGCCGGCCCCCATGTGTGGTTGGGTCTCATAGAGATTGATCATGTCATGTTTCAGTCTGATAGTCGAAAGCTTGTCCGGAGATGTGAGACATAAACTGACAATTTCAGCGGGAGTTGTGGTACAGAGGAGGCAAGATGTCAGCGTTAGAACATGTAAGCGTCTTCAACGGCCTGAGCTATACCGATTCAACGGGAAGAGCTCGTAAGCGAACTCGGGGAGAGGTTTTTGGAGGCTGAACCGTTGCAGCTGCTGCGCGTTACATTGTCTCGGATGGTGCAAGAAGACATGGGTATTTTCTTTTAGGCGACTTTAAAGCGGTAGAGTTCGCGAGGGGAGCTGACATTTCGCAGCGGTCGGCATTAGTCTTGTAGTCTAAGACTCTAAGATTTAACTAAGTCGCTTACAGTCGTGTCTAAACAGGATGTTAACGCCTTGAGTGTAAACTGCTTGAATTAGTCAAGTGCTCTGAGCTGTGGAGCTGTGGGACCTTTTGAATCAAACACCTGGCGAAGGCAACGCATACGATTCCTCTACTCAGAACGGAAGGGTACAGTCCCTTATTGTGCCTTCACCGCTAAACGCCCTCCCAGCTCCCCCCCTCCACATCATGCGGCTTGAGTCATGACTGCGGATGTTGCTCACCTAAACGCACGGAACGTTGGGCAGAGGCGGCTTCAAACCAGCAGAATCAAGAAACGAGGACGCGTATCCCGTGTTAACGAGCCGACGACCCGGAGACAAGGAGTGAGGCCCAGTGAGGCCCTTCGCTTGGGGGAGGGTCTGGGGCCTGTCGTTGACCGTTGTCCATGGTTTCTGCCATGCTCGGCTTGCAAGGAGGGGTTCTTCTCTCGGCGTTGCTCTCTTGGTGTGCTGAGTGGCGTCCTGCAAGCCATTTGGCTGCTTTTGGGAGCAGGTCGGGAGCGGGTAGTAGGCCTTTGGAGGGTCCGCAGCGGCATGGTGGAAGCACGGGTGGACCGCATAGAACACGCTGGCATGGCGCTGGTGGCATCGGGCACTCGCTTTTGGGTGCCCTGGCCACTCTTAGGCTTGTCGGATGTGAAAGTTCAGAAGAACTCAGCGAGTTTGCATTGGCGGCTCCATTGCATTGATCCTGACAGCAAGCCGGGAGACTACCAGGGAGGCGCACAGAACTCGTACTGCCTTCGGGCCTTCAAGGGGAGGCGCATCGTTCCTGATTCAACGACGCTGCGCACTGGCATTCTCGAACTTGAATGTGCAATAGAGCCTTGGGGTCTTGTAAAGGAGACTTTGTGTTTTGATGGGCGAGTTCGTGTCAAAGGCTCTCCCTTCGAACCCCTCCGCTGAAGGAACAAGATGCTTTGTTGACGATCTCTGCAAACAGAATTCCCCTCAGTCTACAGCTTGCAAAACCTCTGAGCTGCTGCCTCGAGCATCGGCAAAGCTTCGACAAAGGAGCTGCTGCAACTGGGCTGCAATTGGGATGTGCAGGCCCAGCAGGTCATGGATTTCACGGACGTTGTTGACAGAACCTTCCCCCTGACAGGCGCTGGCGGGTCAGAAGCTGCTGCAAGAGGCTCGCAGAATGACTTCTCCTTGTGACTCTGGGGCCGAGGTCTATGCCCAGCGTTGGGGGATGCTGGTGGAGTTGGAGGCAGCAGCATCAGCCGTGGAGGGCAACGACTCCCGCGTGCTCTTCGATGTCCCGATCACCTGGACCGAGACGCAAACCGCCGAGGGAAAGAAATCTCGCGGCTCCTTCATCATCTCTGCGCGCCTGGCACGAAGCCACAAGCTGAAGTTCCGAGGCTTGTTGCCGCGAGGCGGCGAGTCTGCATCTTCGTGGTTGTGCTTGCGGACCCACGACCTCCAGTGGTCTGCACATGCCCGAATTGTTCAAGCTGGCATTCTGGAGGCACGCTGGGCAAGGGCATGGAGTGTAGGGGAATGGATTCATGCCGCTGTGTGGGGTTTGTTGGTTTGCTGCTTTCAGCAGCAGACACAGGAAAGAAGGAGAGGCGGACGGAGGGGCAGAGATTGGGATAGACGTTCGTTACGAGGATTTATTCCAGTTCGTGGTACGCTCTCAGCATGTTTGAGAAGCACTCCACTGCCGTTGTTGAGAAAGATCGGAAAGATGCCGTATCCCTGGCATGGCGCATCGATGTTCGCAGCACCAGGCTCTGCCCTCCAAAAGAAAGTGCGAGGAAGGAACATGCAGCAGTACCTGTGTTCCATACAACGTAATACACGTGCACAACAAAGTCGCTCAACTTTTTTCATACAAACTCATTGCGGCCGCACGGGGGGGGAGAATTAAAGTCGTCCGCCACTCGCGCCACTCCCGCACGCGCCACTCGCGCCAGTCGCTCCACTCGCGCCACTCGCGCCACTCGCGCCACTCGCCACTCTCTCATCCAAGAATCGGTCAGTGTGAGCTCGTCCTGCGTCCTCCGTTTTGGTATAACGGTTCAAATTGGTGTTTGCACCAGCAAGGCGCTTTCGCGGCGCCCCCGGGGTCGAACGGGACGCGCAAACACATCACGGCGGAAAGTGATATCTTTTGTAAACCGAGGTTGAAGCCTAGCGCTCCTAGACTGCTATCAGTTGCCATCAGCTGGTCGACTCCACGTAAACTCCTCGAATTGTACAATGAAGTTCTAGACACACAGGCCACGCCGCGCAGTTGGTAAGAAGCTAGAGTAGTCGGTATGTTCAAAGAAAGGGCTCGGACACTGATGCATCTGACTATGGGCCAATCTCGCTTAACGTAACTTACAAAGTCTGTGCGGCCATGGCATCAGCTGGGCTCTCACTGACATGTGCGGAGAAACCGGGCAAGTTTTAGACTAAATTTTTAGATTACGGCGCAGTGCAGTTCATCATACTTTTAGCAGCTCACCCGCTAAACGTGCTGTTCCTGAGTTGGAAACCCGCCTTCGATTCACTTGACCACAATGCCATGCTCATCGCACGGTAAAGGTTTGCTTTACCTGGCAATCTTATTCAGGACATTTCCGTTTGCATGAAGCCCCCGCCTTCAAGGTACGACCTAGAGTACGCAGATGACACTCTTTTGTTGTCCAGTTGCCAATAAGGATAGGATCCTAACACAGGGAAAGCACAGAGCGAGGAAATGCTGCTACTGGCTTGAAGTGGTTACCCAAGGACATTACCCGAACATATGGCAAGACCACAATGCCCTTTTTGGAGCCAACTTCAAAGCATGTCAGTCCAATTCTAAGACTGCAACAGGGAGCTCTTTGAGAAGGCGCCAAGGAGAAGAGCATCGTTCCTGCACATGGCCATCGTAACAGAAATGCATGTGCTTGATTTTCGGAGGGGGCCACGGTTGTGGTTTGCAAGGGTTCATGAATAGGAACAGCACTTTCCCAGCACCGGCGTTGCAGTCTGGATGCAAACAAAGGGTTGATGTTCGCTAGCAGCTTCGCTGTTGCCAACTTCAATGGCTGAGAAGCTGCTCGCAGAGAACACAGAACGACAAAGCCGTCGAAGAAGCTCGGCGGTGGTGGTGCCATGGTGTCCTCGTACTTCTGTTACTACCGTAGTGATGTGCGATGATCATGAGTATTCACGCGTGGTGGTGGTGGTGGTGGTGGTGGTGGTGGCGGCGAGTTGAATTGAAAGTGTTGTGAGAGAGTCCGATGTCCGATAGACTATGCCCTTTGTGATGTTTTGTTCGGCATGTGGTCCGGTGCTTGAACATGGCATCCATGGAGGATGGACATCAACTGACGCTTGACGATGAGGAGAAGGCAACCGACAAGACCCAAAACTCAATTCACGTAGTATTCGACATCGAAGGAACGCGGACCGCTACACCAGACATCGTGGAATACGTGCCGAAGTCTTTATCCTACAGCTGCATGCACATGGCTCTTTCGGATATCAATCCACCAGCACGTGTTGATGGCCTACCTCCAGCCCCGCTGCTGGCACGCGATATTGTCTTGGGGAGGTTGCCACTGGAATTTCAAGAAGAGCGACAAGACTTGTCAGCTTGGCACCTAAACTCCTCTCAAGAGCAGGCTGTTTGTCGTGCTCTAGCCCGTCACTTCCAGTTGTTGCACGGCCCACCCGGGACGGGAAAGACACGCACCGCTGCTGTTCTGATGACCCTTTTCGCTCAAAGGAATCTTGGGGCCCGGTGTGCGATCTTGTTCGGAGCACCCACTAATCGGGCTGTGGATTGTGCCTTACTATACACGAACCAGCTTTGCGAGAGCTATTTTGCGGAAAGATTGCGAGCCCGTGTTGAGCAGGATGGTGATGCTGAGTGTGCCATCTGCCTAGATGCCAATCCAGATGTTGTTACAGCATGTGGGCATGTGTTCCATCGGACATGCTTAGCACGCTGCTTGCAGCAGAGCAGTCAATGCCCTTTGTGCCGGCAAATTCTGAAGCAGCCGAGGGGAGGCTTGCGAATGCTACGAATCTACGGTGCCGATGCCGAACGCCAGGATTTTCCAGTACCCACCAGGGTGGACCACCCAAATGTTCAGACTTTCAAAGTTCAGGTGATTCCAGAGAACATGCGCCGCTTTTCCTGGCACTGGCGCTGTCACGCCGCAGCCGGTGAAGAGCCCAGCGAGGAGGCGGTGGCCTGCCGACAAGCTTATGATCGGCTGAGAGCATGTGCTCCGAAGAGCTCCGAGTTCGAGGAACGACGTTCGGAGTACTACGCAGCATTGAGCAAAGCAAGGGCTGCAGAGATTCGCCAGGCCGATGTGATTTTCTCCACCTGCGTGTCTGCCCGACGGAATGCTTTGCTGGAGGCACTTCTTCAGAAGACCGCCCCCGAAATCCGCCAGGTGGTCATGGATGAAGCCGGGCAGGCTCCAGAACCAGAAGCCTTGTGTCTATTGACTTTGGCCAGATATGCCCAGCATGCTGTGCTCTTCGGGGACCACAAGCAGCTTCGACCTATTCTCCGTAGTAAGGTAGCAGAGCAGGCCGGGATGGGAATGTCGCTTTTCGAGCGTTTGGCAACACGGTGTCGCAACGATGACTCTGACATCTGCAGCCCCGTCTCCTTGCTCGCGGAGCAGTACCGCATGCATCCAAGCATCAGCCGATTCCCACGCCGCCACTTCTATGGAGGCCGGGTGAAGGATCACCCATCCGTCAAGGACAGGATCCGCTGTGTGTTGCATCATAGAGGCTCTGAAGCACCTTTCTTGGTTTGGACCGGGCATAGCGGTGGGGAAGAGCTCCAACGCTTGCGCACCATCGGTTCGGGGGGAGTTGGCTCCCGGGCCAACAATGAAGAAGCAACTAGGGCTGTGAGCCTGGCAGCCAGGCTGGCGCGACACGTGGGCGAGTCGGCAGTTGCGGTTTTATCTTACTACAACAGCCAGGTGGCAAAGATCAGCGAGATGCTCCGACGGGAAAGTCTCAGAGGCATCCATGTAGGAAGCATTGCCACCGCGCAAGGTAGCGAGTGGGACTATGTGATCTTGAGCACGGTCCGCAGCGAAAAAGGTGGCCGTCTGGGGCTCCTTTCAGATCCACACACCATGAACGTGGCCATTACTCGGGCTCGACACGGCCTTGTGGTGCTTTGTGAACAGTCTGCTCTGGAAGGGTGCCCCAACTGGTCAGCTCTGCTGCAGCATGCGCGGTCCGAGGGTTTGATAACCAAGGAAGATCCAGAAGTGCGAGCGGCTGCACCATTACGGAGGCCCCTGACTGACGAAGAAGCGCTCGACCAAGAGCAGGAGAAGTTGGCTGCTATGCTACAGAAGATTCTTTCTACGCCCAGACAAGAGTCCTCGTCAAAATCCCGCAGTTCCTCCAGATCCAGAAGCCCCTTGCGAGGTTCGCCTTCCGGCAGGTCAAGCTCAAAGCCGTCCATGCATACAGTCGTCTTCCAAGGTTTGGAGAGAGCTTGTGGAGCTTGAGGCCGTGCCCCCCCTTTTGAACCGACTGGGTTTCGCTGCACTGTACAGAGGAGGAGTTTTCAGTCGAAGCCGACATTTTCGCGGACATCGCATCGCCTGAAAAGTGTCTCACGAATTTAGAAATCAGGGATCAGGGGCTCTGCTCGCTCTGCTCGCTCTGCTCTGGTGCTCTCAAGTCTCGTAAACTCATGTGCTGCACGGACCCACACGGCCAGGTGCAGGCACGGCAGGCACGTTCCACCACTTTCCGGCAGCCGAAGGCGCAGCCTCGGACCTCCGCCAAGTCCCAAAAAAGAGATCCAGCGAGCGGGCTCGGTGGAATGTCTAAGTGGCGTCCAGACTCTCAGAGGTGGAGGTGAGTCTTAGGCAGAGCTGCTTTCGACATTGCACTGCGCACGTGCACGAGCTTACCCTAGAGCCCTTCGGCTAATTCGCCTATGCATTCAGGCAGGCTTGATTCCTTTCAGCTGTCGTGGCATCTCGTGGCCGGCGGCCTCGCTAGCAGCACCGGGGTCTCGTGCATGCGAATGCGGAGGTGACAGGCGATAGCGCGTCAAGAATGGAGTTTGGGTGAAATTTACCATCTACAACCCACAGTCTACACATCAGGTCAATCTTTGTGCTGACTTTAAAAACGTATCGGCAGGACCTGTTATTCTTTCGTGCCTGTGCAGATGCTCGAGTGCTCGTCGCGCTCGTCATTGCCTGCCGAGTAGTCGCAAGAAAGGTGTGCAGTACACTGGCCACTATTGCTGCTACTGCTACAGCTTCTGCTGGAATCTGCTCTCTACTCATTTCAGTCTCGCTGGATGTTGTTGATTCTTTGACGTAGAGCAGGGTTCTTGTTGACACTTAGGCAGACCCTGCTTCTCAGAATCGATGCGAGTTTTTGGCTTGAGCCAAAGCGGCGGCCTGATTCAGCTCGACAGATAGAAGGGCAGGTTGCCGAATGGCAACACACTGCCTCATCTGCGTGCTGCTGTGGTGGGATCTGGTGCCTGAGACACTGCAGTTCGCATCAGTTTTTGGTTGCTGTCGTCGTTCATGCTTTAGTGACTTCAAGAACACTAATTAGAGCTATGGTCTCGTGGTGTCGTGATGAGCTCACGTGAAAGAGCCGCTGAGAAGGTGCAGACATGCCTTCCCGAGACACAGTTAACTGCATCCTTGTCGTTCCAGGTTCTTCCTGCGGAGACACTCCTGTGCCCGGCTACTTGTCCAGATGCTACCACAGATGGATATGCCGCCGCGTGTCGGTTCCACGGAAACAATTGCTCCTGGGCTTGCTTTCAGCAGATTTCGTGGCGGATCAGGGCTCATGGTAGAAATGTCTCTCGTCTAAAGCTCGGATAATAGTCCACTTGACTACTCTGCTGCGCGGATTTACTGTAGCATTCTTCCTTTTTGCACGTTTCCGTTGTCGATCGCCCATAGCCTTCTCTGGCATCAGCTTCTCCAAAGGTTTCGTGACAAATGTTGTGACAAGGAGTAAGTTTCGGCAGGCGAGCAAACGAGGACACTGAAACGCGGCGAGGGCAATGATGTGACAGGTGCTAACGCCCGCCCTGTCTGCAGGCACGGTCCCCACGACTCCGAACTTGGCCCGCGTATCCACTCACGATCTCAACATCGTGGTCATGAATCCGTGTCTCAGTGGCACGCAGCATCGCACGGTGCGAGCTGATGGACCTGGCCCGAGCCTTTTGCGGTGAAGGGCCAGTGTAAGGATGGTTTAAAAGACCGTGGCAACGAAGAAATTGAAAGCAGGTCCGAATGCGGAAGTATAAGCATGTAACATCAGAGGGTTTGGTATGCTTCCAAGCCCTATCTCGATGAGGTATTCCGGTGCAGCGGGGGACGTTGCCACGGTGTCGGAGCCTGTCCCTGCATCTGAGGCCTTTCTCTTGTCGCACCAAAACAAGGGGAAGAGAGAGAGAGAGAGAGAGTGAGTGAGTGAGAGTAGCCATTTTGGGGTAGCGCGCGCGCGGGGCGGGAGGACTGCTCCTGCCCTAAACCCCGAGCAAAGCAAAGTAGCCATTTTGGCTCAAGCCACGAGTGGTTCAAGGCCGAGCCAAAGAAAGAAGAGGGCCTGAAACCAGAAAGGGGTGAAAGCAGGCCAACTGCTGCTGTGCTGCAGGGAGCCATCGACCTCCTGGGCATCCTTGTGATACTACGCGCCCTCCTCGATTGCGTTTCGGTGAGCGACCTGGGGGGGTTAGGTGAAGTACTGTGTCAGTGCCCTGTCCCTCCAGCTACTCGCAATCGGCGACCCTATAGGGGGCTTTGACATCGGAGCGATTCTCCGGGAGAACATCGTGGTGGGAGATCAAGTATTCTGCGGGAGCGGACGTGATACTTCTTCGGGGGCACCGAGAATGGCTACTCCACCGATGCGGATGGAAACCGAGGGGGAAAGCTGCCCCTGAATAAGAACCACAAGTGAGAGGCCTGAGGGGGACCAATACCTGTGCATATGATGCGTCAGCTTTGGGGCACAGCCCCGCGTGGAGTCCACGATACCTTGGAAGCAATCCTTGACTCTTTTCAAATTGTACGGCGAACATCAGGGGGAAGCAGTGCTCCTGACCAGCCAATAATTCAAGGGAAGGGCTGTAAATTCGATCTTTGAGACAGGGTACTTGAGTTAGACGACCAAAGACCAGAGCAATCTGGCACAGCTCGGCTACACCCGAAAAGCAGCCCCAGCCCCAGCAACCCAGGGCACTCAGACACCGGTCGTAGGTGTGTTATAAGCTTAGCCTTCGAGGCGGGTTGGGTTTAGTGTAAAGGGGGGTATGGTGAGGGCGACCGGTAAGTAGAGCCTCGGAAACCTTCATTGCGGGCGCGAATGGTGGCCAGAAGCGCCCGCACCCCCCGCACCGCCCGCACCCCCAGCACCGCACGCACCCTCCGCACCGCACGCACCCTCCGCACCGCACCCTCCGCACCGCCCGCACCACCCGCACCCCCCCGCACCCCCCCGCACCCCCCCCCACCCCCCCCCCCCCCCCCACCCCCCGCACCCCCCGCACCCCCCGCATTCCCCGGTGCGAAAACGCGCGAGGGGGGGGGGGGGGCTCGCGACCACCTCTGACCGAGTTGAAGAAGAGAGAGGCCTTCGGGCCAGGGGGTTTCGGCCCTCATACCCGACAGCAAGCAAGCAATCAAGCAAGAGACAGAGTCTAATAAATACGGGGTCTTACGGATCCAAACAGGGGCCTCTCCTTGGCTGAGTGCAAGCAAGAGACAGAGAATTATGTTGTATATACGTTTTGGAGGGGAATGTTACCACCGCCCAGCGCACTTCCTGGAGCCTATTCTGCGGGAGATGGCCGAAAAAGAGCCATCTTTTACTGCCTTGTAAACTTAGGCTTGCGCGCCAAAAAAACCACCGCTCGAAATGTTGACGACGAGGAAGACAACGATGATGATGAATTACGATGGCCACGACGATATCAATGGCGATGGCGATGATGATAACGATGAAGATGAAGATGATGACAACAATCGTGGTAGCAATGATGATGATCTGGCAATCTGGCAAAGGTGACCTTGCAAAGACCTTTTGCCCCAGAAGTTTTCCACCCACAAACCTCAATAAACTTGCCGCGACCTTCAAAGTCATCGGCCCCACCAGTGTTTTCGCCTTCTGCCGTAAGACTAGCTTTGCAGCCCAGGTCCAGAGAATAAATTCAGGCCGGCTTTGCCCAGCACACAAAAAGCCCACTGCCCAACACGTTGATGACGATGATGATAACGATGATGGTGATGATGAGAATGATGAAAATGATTGTGATATCGATGGTGACTGTGAGGATGATAACGATGTTGACCTCGATGATGATAAGCACTGATGGTCGCCTTGGACGCCCCGAAAACTGGACACGAAATCGTGTCCCGTTTTTGCTTCTGCCACGCGACCGCTGGGGAAGGTCAAAACATGCGATTTTGCTGCGCCTGCCACACTTTTGTACACTTCCCTCGGCCGCTCCTCTGTAGGTTTTGTCTTCAGGGTGTTTTTTTTTGGCGCGCGCGCCTAAACTTAGGAGAACTTGCTTTTATCGGGGGAAGTACAATGCCCGTCACAATTGCTACAACGCGAGCACCTGCTGTTGTGCGAACCTAGACCTAGTACCCAAACAACGCCTGCAAGCTCGAGTGCGCGTGCGATAAAATGTTTCTCGTGTGCTATCCAGACGGGGGATGGCGTCCTTTGGCCGAACCTTGTCGTACACTCGAGCCCTTGCCAGCAAACTCCTGGGGGAAGCCAATCCCGCCAAGAGCTGCGGGTCCTCGAAGAAAGAGAGAGAGCGAGAGAGAGAGCCACAAGCCCCATAACATATGGGGGGCCCATGTGGCCTGACACGCCCTCCAAGCCCTGCGGAAGAAGAGAGCGAGAGAATTATGTTGAATACACCTCGTTTGCCAACTTCGGGGAATTCAATCCAATTTTCACGCTCTTTCAAAGCCTGGTCGAGAGGCAGCGTGTCCAGGAGGACATGAGGGTGGTCATGTCCATAGTAAACCGGCAGCTGTACGGATGGAAACGGTGAATTCGGCCTGCACCTTACTCTAGCAGCATCTTCTCAGTCTCGAAGGAGGTCGCACAAACAACGATCAAAGATTGCAAACTCAATTTGGGAGTTCACGCCTGAAAATGTCCGGCGAGCCCAGAATGACAAAAGTGTCCGTGTTGTGGCCAACATATTTCTTCTTCAGCAGAGCATGAGGGGCGGGCCAGACCCCTCGGCCACATGCGCGGGACATCGCAGCGGGATACGGCCGCGAGCCGGGGCTGGTGCAGGCAATCCGCAGGTGGAGTGCGCCGTAAAGGCGTACTGCATACCTTGCGAAGCATGGAAGCAGACTTAGCCCAGCTCTCGTGGCCACGGCGTCACGCCTGCATTCGACAACTGGTGCAGCGACTGCAATTCCCGCCGGCCAGTGCTCCGGGCATCACAAGGGAACACAATTGCCTTTCGTCCTCCAAAACTTTTTCCCGGGCCTACGCCGAGGCGACCCAGCCCAAGAGGATTACGAGTTGCGAGTGTTTGCAAGTCTGAGGGGAACGACTGGCAGGGCAGATCGAGGGCATGAAGATTTACTGCCCCAACAGCAATCTTGAACCGCACTGCACACAGCAGCAGGAACCCTCGAGCACTGCAAGCAGCATGAGGGGGGACCCAGAGGGGCAGCGCTGTGCAAGCTTCGGATTGGTTCTGGAGCCCAGGCGTGGGATAGGCTTGAGGCAGGGATAGTGGTGTAAAGTCCCTTACTACGGCAGTGTCACGCCAACCTTTTGCGCGGGACGCTGCACGTTGGGATTTGGTCGGCGAGGGGGTGGGGGATGCAAGGGTGAAGTACATTCCCGCTTTAATCCTGGAGCAATCAGGGAGAATCATGCCGTTTGAGCCACACAAGAAGAAGTGTCACTTTAGCCCACAACAGAAAGATGAGGACGTCCAAAGTCCGGTCATATGGAGAAAGAAACGAGCCTTGTCCAACTCAGGAGCCTTTGCTGCAGGCGGCAGCGCAAGAGACCGTCCATCGTGCTTGTGATGTGGATTTCCTTATCCATTGCTCTGCGGACCGATTTCTGGGTCGGGTAAGGCTCCGTTGCAACAGAACCATGGAGAACCATGCTCATTGACTCATTACATCGAGCTTGTTGTTTTTTGGCGGCGCCGCCTCAAAGGCACCGGAATAAGTTTTTGACGGACACGTCCATTCCAATCAGGATAACGGCCGCTCCGACAGCATCCGATGAACATCATATCATCACTTGCCCTACCATGATCATGTCCACTCCGGCCACATCCAATGACCGCATCACACATGGCTTCGCATCGAACTTTGCTTTCAAGGTGATGAGGGTGCTGCACAGTTCGACTAAACGTGACTAAACTGTCTAACTCAGCTCTAATTGTTGCGAGCTGTGATGAGGATGTTGGTGCTGTTCCTTATAACTCTGATGGTGTTGCTGCCGCAGTTGCTTCGTGTGACGCTGCTAGCCCGGCTTGTAAAACAAGTGCATAACCGGGAAAACACTGAAATCATGGAAACAAAGGGCACAGTTTTGCAGTTTCGAAAGCATTTCACATTCACGTCTAGTCTAGTCGTGATGGGTGTTTTCTCGCATTTCTCGCACGTTCAAGCGCTGCGAAGCAATTTTTGTACCACAAAACACAGGGCGCCGTACAGAAGCCGCATCCACGTTCTTACTGCTCTGTGAAGTGGAGCATTGCCGGAGGACAGCAGCCTCCTCCCGGGCTACCGACTGCAAGTCCACGTTGTGGATGCAGAGTGTTCCGCACAGATGCCGGCATTGAATTGGGCACTGGGTCAAGACAGAGCGTTGAGTTTGGCAGCTCAGCAATTGGTCCCTTGTAATGATCGAAGGTCGGAGGGGTCGGAGCCGGAGCCAAGGTTTTGTTGCCTCATGGCGTTTGCTCTGCAAGCAAGGATTGGAATCCGTCGGACGATTGCTTCCCTCAGCGCCAGCCCGCCAAAGCATGCCGTGCCATGCCATGTCATCACGGTTGTTTACACAGGGCAGGGCATTCTGAGCCAAGTCGAAGCATCATAGATCCAGGAGCAGTAGCACGTGAAGCCCAACCCGAAATGACAAGCTAAAGCCCGACACCACCAAGCAGCAAAAGGCCCCCAACACTCAAAGGGCTGAAAGTCGCTCTGGCCCTTCATCCACCGAGGTGCTGGGCGCAGTCTGCAGTGGTGCCTCAGAGGGCATCAACGATGCCCTCTACCATTACAATGTGTTGCAGGCACATGTGGAGTGTCAAGGATTCCCTGTCGGGACTAGATTGACGTGTCCATCTTGCTCTTTGCTCTGATACCTGTGCATGATTCGCTGGTGTTTGACTCTTGTAGGGCCGGTCCAGATGGACTGAGGCCCGCTTTCCCTTGTGGTAGTCAATTTTTTTCATTTCGACCTGACTTCGTGCACCGCCGAGGAGGACTGTCTGCTTTAGGCTCTAGGAATCTTTAGGACTATAGCATTGGTCGGGTTTCGCCTGTGTGACGATTTTGAGGAACCGAAGCCGCGTGGCCCATGCCGAAACTGCAGCGGTGTTGGGGTGCGCAGCTTTGGGGCGTCCAAAGTCCCAGGATAGACATGACCGATGCATGTTCGCGGCACAATGGGACCACATCGAAAGAGGCGGTAGACAGTGCTTCAGGTATCTATAAGAAAAAGAACCCTACAACATATTAAATGAACACCGATAGTTCACGCCAACTCTAACACCAGAGGTTCGTGTTGCCGCGAGGTTTCTCCGAGCTCGGTGTCGGCCAGCCTCAGTGACCGCCACTCGCCAAGCAGTAAGGCGTCGCACAAACTGAGCCTTTGGCATTTGACCTGGTTGAGGCAGCCGCTTCCCTTACTTCACCCGTATGGCGCCTTCATACCGCTTCAACGTCCTGGCTCTGTTCGGTGTGTTGAAACTGCTTGGGTTCAAGAGCTTCTTGGCTGTTCCTCTGGGAAGAGGTGGAGGGTTGGAAGGATAATCAAGTTGTTATCCACGGGACATGTGCCGGGTGAGGTTTAACGTTGCAAGAGCATGGTTGTTGCTTGATGGTACGTTTGGAACCTTCGGGTGTAGGATTGAGGAGAGGTACACAAGAAATAAGCATGCACGCATCAAACTATGGTCTCGCTGTTTGATTGGGAGTCTTCAGCGATCGTCGATCAACCGTCGAGCCCTTGAGTGGGATGCGATGACATGGCGGCGAGCAGTTCAGCAAGTTAAGCATTCCTCGGCCCTGGCTGAGCCGCTGCAACCCAGAATAGGCATTCCTCGGGAGCAAGTAGCAAGCTACAGGCGATAGCCGAAGCCGAGTTAGCATTTCACCTTCGCAGAGTGGCTTTTCAAGTGTTTACATGGTCCGGTTCAGCACGCGTTCAGCATCAGGGGTCGGCGTTGTACATGGCCCACGCAGCATCAGCGTGTCCTGGCTGCTCCTGGCTGGCCATTCCCGCAGGGTTCAGGGCGGATTTCAAGCGCTGGCTCAGGTCGAGACTCTACTTGTCGTAAAGTTGCAGCACACCTGTGCCGGCAAAGCGCACATTCAGGGTCGATGCCACACATTTGGCAGTCTTGGTGCTCACATAACTTTAAAGATGGGATGTGTCGGATTTTTGGCATCCCCTGGAGCCCAGAGCCCCCCTGTAGAGCCCTGGAGCTGAGGGACGGGGGGTGGGGGGTGGGGCTTTTTTTTGTCGCAGGTCCTGGCGAGGGACCTCTTCTCGGAGCTCGTGTCGCTCAGCGGCACATTTGGAGCGCGAGACGAGCCGCGACGAGCTGCGACCTGCGAGCTTTCGGAGATGCACTTGCCGCAGCAGTGCTCCAGCGGTGCTCCAGGCAGCGAGACCTGGACTCCGGCGCATATCCCTGGACGATCCTGCTGCAAGCACAGGTGCAGGTGCAGGACGTATCAGACACAGCTGTCCTCTTACAGACTGGGTAGATGTCGGGATATGTCATTGCTCTTCCCGATGACGTCACTCATTCGCCTCTAGATAGTCGGCTCCTGTGCAATGGCCGGTGAGCAAAGGATGACTTTCCCTTGTGAATTGCACCACAGACCAGGACTTGGAAAGTGCCTCTGCCGTAACGTGGCAGCAACCAACGTCAAACAATGCCTCTGACCTCGAATTGTCCATCGAACTGCATCTGTCTATCTCTCTATCATCTATCTATCTACCAGATACCCTGTGTAAAGTGTTTTGAAAACACGCAGGGAAGTCGTTTGCATTGGTATTTACAGCACTTTCTGCACCTGAAGTACTTGGTTACGCGCGCCGTAGTTAACCTGCGTGGTTCGGGGTTCGCGCGGTAGGTTCTCTTTGGGGAGGGGGGGGAGTGAGAACGTCCGTTCGCACGGCGACCATGCCCCAGAGCACTGGCGTTAACAGCGTTCTTGCCCTTTGTGCAACACAGGCAACAAATTATGTTTTACGATTCTGGAACCAGACACGCCCGCAAAAGCGTTCACGTCTTTTGTGAACATGCCTTAAGCACCGGTATTTACAGCATTCGGGCGCTTGGCACAACATAATGGAAAAGAATGTTTGGTGTTTCTGGAAAACACGCTGTCACAAGCAAGTCATGTGTAAACATGCCTAAAGAGCTGGAGTTTGCAGCAGTAGAACATACTTCAGCAGGATGTTGGATGTGTCTGCATGCGGGTGTTTACTGCATGTTCGTTCTTCCCACAACGTACTGCAAGGGCTTTTTGTGCTGTCAGAAATGTACATGTTTTTGTTTTGCGAAGATGCATTCAGACCTGTCATCAACAGTGCTCTAAAAAGAAAACCCTGCTTCTTGTAGAAATTACGTTTTTTCTTTGGATATGAGCACATTCACATGCCGCGGAGCCACCAGGGCCCTGGGGCATGCGAGACCTGGTTTGGTTCGAGACGTCTCGTTATGTGTCAGGGGGGGAACGAAGAGGGTGTGGATCTTAGGGGGGTGACCATATACATGTATATGTACAGTATATGTATATATACGTACATATATATATATATATATATACACTTATTTTTGTATACACATATGTATAGTTATACCTATAGATCGCTATCTATATCTATCTCTGTGTGTGCCACTTGTTCCAAACGGGCTTCACATAACGTCATTTTATGCGGCTTTTACGATGCACAAGCATTCATAGAGAGCAGCGGGACTGCCTGGTTTGCAACAGTGGCAGTCCAACGAAGAGGCTGCGAAGCGGCTGTTACGGATCACTGACATGAGCTGAGGACGCCTGGCTCACGTACCTGCAGTTTGCGAATCCTACATCTTCGCTGTACATGGTGCTATGTCATTGGAATCGTGCATGGTCCAGTGCATCCATATGACCCCATCGCAACCCTTGTCAGTGCGAGAGTTGCTGTGCCTCACTCATTCCAGCGTTTGACTGTTTATTCACACAGGACTTCGCCTTTGGCGGATTGGGTCGTTCGTGGTGGTCTAGTCAGGCAGGTGGAGGCACCCACCAGTGGACACTCTGAGCACTTTCTATTGGACATTTGAGGAGACGGGCCATAATGCGGCCGTCGGGCAGGTACTCGAAGCAAAGGGTGTGTCCGTCTGCGTGTGCGTATTGTTCTGCTACGGCACCAGCTCCTAATGTAAGGTATTGCCATGATATTTCATAGTGAAATGTGATGCGATGAAGTGCAAGGCAATGTACCGTGAGGCAATGTTGTGGAATGTGGCGCTGTGCAATACAGTGTAAGTGTACTGCAACGTAGTGCATAGCATTGTTCATGTACCGGATAAAATGGAAGTAGTGTAATGCGACGCAATATCATGTAAGCATGCACAATCATTTACATGCAACCATGCACTGTCACTCTCTCACGCACCCACCCACCCACCCACCCACCCACCCACCCACCCACCCACGCCCGCATGCTCCGCGTTTGTTTTTCCTTGCCAACATATTAGGGATGTTTATGTTGGGGTGAGCTCGTCAAACGTAATTATCAGCTTGGGTGTCAAAAGGTAAGACCTTGCATTACACACCCAAAAACGAACTTACGGGTCTCGACAAGGTCAAGCAAACTTTATCGGGGCCCCCGACACCAACCAGAGACACTGAGCTTATGACCGTTTGAAGCTCGAAACTGTCCCTCAGTGAGTGCCACACTCCAGCCACAACGGCTATACTTACTCGTCAGAACCGGATAGAACCGGGCTGCTTCAAACTGACCCAGTCTGGAGCACCGGAGCTCGTCAGGCAATGGAACTGGTGAGGAGTCGGGATGCCCGCATCAACATGATGGCTCTTTATGAGGCGCTTCAAGTTCCAGTACGGTTCTTATGGAGGGAGAAGCCGACACAGGGCCCACAGGGGCTCAAGAATGCTTCTCATGCCAAAGCCCTCCAAAGTCGTTGGTGTGATGCTGCGGCCCGGTTTCTGAATTTGCTCGGGAGGAGTTTAGCCATCGTGTCAGGGGCAGCTGGTGCTCGTGTGTCATCAGGCGTGCTCTCCCTGATGCATCCTAGCAACATGTAGCCTGGTAATCACCACTTCACATGTGAGACTACACGGCACGGCACTTGTGGCAGCCGCCGTGGTGAAGCAACAGTATTAATCAGTATTATGACATCAGCTCTTCTTTCCGCTTTCCGTTGGTGCCGTGAGAAATAGCAGACAACAACAACATTAGTACCTGGTTTTGGACTGTTGCAATGGCTGGATGGAGGATGATGGGGCGATGCTTCTTTGCCAAGCGTATCGACGTGGCATGCCCCGCGGCTTGAATTTGGGCTCATGCCGGAAAAGCACAAGCACTGTGACAGTTCGACCGCACATCGGCAAAGGTTGGGGAATTCAGAAGCTGGTCAATAGCAGGTACATTCCGTCACGAGGTGCCACGGACACATCATCATGACCTTTATTAAAATTATAACCATGACATGACTCACGCCATACATCGCCGTGCCATGTGACGCTGCACACCGTGTTCGACTTGAAACGATGTGGCAGTTGCATGCTACGAGAATCAACAGAATCGAGGCTGTCTCCAGACTATGTTTGGATGATTTCGTCCGGTTGGTGGCAGCTTGGGTGCACACAGACGTTGACATGCCACATGAGTGCTTGCAACACCATGATGCGTCCTGGTTGTGTGGGTTCTCAGCAGGGCACTAGTCGCGAAAGTACAACGGTTAGAAGAACCAACATAGGAGGCTTCGCAGTTGCGTGACCATGTCGCTGTGCCACATCCTTCAGCGCACGTAGGGCTGATGCTGACAACTGCAGAGACGGATGCTGGGATAAGAAACGCATTCCTTTGCCGCAATCAAGTGTCTTCTTATCCCTCGGGTGGTCTTGAGCGGATCTGCATGACTATTTCCGACTTGCTCGCACTTCTCGATCTTTGACATCTTCGCAAAGCTTTGCTTCCTTGTGACCATGCAGGCGATCGGCCAGACAGCACAGCTCGTAGGCCAGCTGTTGAAGCTATGACCAGAGTGGGCAGGACGTGGAGACATGGAGTGCTGCTTTGAGTTTCAACTCAGGATTCAGAACTTTGCCCAGCGCTTCGCGGGCACTCCCAGCTGCCCCTGGGCGTGGCAACTTTCTTCATCTTTCTTCATCCATCATGGGTGCCTGTTCGTGTTTCTGTTGAGCGGCAGCAAAGGCCCGTGTACAGCAGAGGAGGTGCTTCAGACGGGCTATGGAGCGATGGCCTTTGACATGGGTCCGATGATGCTCCTGAGCTGACAGTGTTGAAGGGCTTTCCAGGTTATATCTGCGTCTTTTCATCTTGCCAAGGCATAGATATGCAGCAACAAAGCAGCGTACAAAGCACATGCAATGCTGACCAAGCTGCGCAGGAACACTGGTGATGTCCATGGCCTTTCGGGCCGTGTGCTGTCGGACATCTACAAAGCTTCATGTCTGAACAGTCTGACAATGAAGCGACCTGCAAGCTGGAACAGTTTACCTTTGCTTCGTTGGTTTCTGTCTGGCAATGGATTCAGTATTAATCTGGCCGCGTAAAAGTTCGAGGTGGGGCTCTCGCTGGATTGGTCAGACATGATCTGGAACTCATATGCATGGCAGAATTGTTCGTGTGGTTGCTCATATCCAGCCAGCCTAGATATACTGAAAAGTCCTGACAAGAGACGTTTTCAGGATCCAGGGCATCCATCCTTCAGCCGTTAAGAAAGAGCTTGGCAGTGGCAATCCGCAGTTGCATGAGTTCCCAATGCCTGCTCAAAATCTGCATCACCAAGGATTACTTGGCTGCCGCTGGCTTGCAGATCGTTTGAGTGTCCTCATGTCAGACTCTAGCTGGCAGCGCCATGAAGGCGACCGTGAGACAGGTGAGACAGGAAAGGGCTCTGCTTCTGCTAAGGAGTGCGCTGCCTTTGGGGGCGGGAGCCTTGGGCCTTTTAAGTGGCCAGAATGGCGACTTGTGGCGTGGGCCGTAGGCAGGCTGCACCCGTGCAAAAAGGAACGCTGTTAAGGCCAGGATCCTGCCTGCAGTGAGGCTGTAACCTCCGTGTTGTGGCGCTTGACTAATCTCAAAGCGTCATGTGCGCAGCAAGGAAGGGCGTGTGCTCGGTGGAAGTGGCAGGTTACACCTACGAGTCTTGGCTTCGTGGGCGATTGCCGAACTCACTGAAGCGTTGATTCGCGGTTCTAGCAAGCAGGGCTCTGCCGCGATGGCGTGAAGAATCGTGCTCATTCCAGCGGCCAGCAGTCGGTTTGTCGTGAGGCGATGTCAGTGAGATTGTGATGATCGGACATGGTGCTTTTGCATGGCAACGCATTTCCTTGCTGCATTTGTTCGTCAGCAGTGGGCATCGCAGCATCGTCTCGGCGGTAGCCTCCAAGCCTCGAGTCCAGGCCAAGAGTGGATGGCTGTTTGTCGTGCTACCACATCCAGAGCTAAGGATGGACTTTGGCACATCGCCACATGGCGTCACATTTGCATCATTTTGCATCGGAGAGCTGCAGCGTGAGACTATACTCGTAGACCCAGAACGTAGGAGCTTTTTTGCCATGCCCTGCAACCTCGTGGGCTGAGCCTCCTGTGTTCTTTAGTGCTTTTTGGACTGGACCCGGGACCTTGGATCTTCTCCAAAGTGGAGTGCGGCGAGGCTGCAGTTCTCCATGCTTTCCTCATCGAGCAAAACAGGCAACTTGGCCAGACGCTCGTGAGACTTGAGTCACTTGAGACTCCACGCAGCTCTGGAGGAGCTACGAAGAGCTCAACACCGAGTTCTCACGCGAGTCCTTGTACCAGCTTTTTCTTCGACAGGCCGCGCCCGCCGGCCCTCGTCAGAGATGGTTTGACGTGGTTCGCTGCCGAGCCATTCTCCTCATAACGCCGCCAGGACTACATGGGATCCACTGGGCGCGTCCGAATCTTCAATAGTGTGGAGCCCACGACCACCCCTCCTTCACACGGAGAGCTGGGTGGGGTTATCCTGTCAAACGTCCAGTCAGAGAGTCAAATCATGTCATGTCCGGATCTCCGATGCCCTGGTTCGGCTGTTCCCAGTGTGCTGATGTACTTTCGTGACACGGCCATCTAATGGCCGACATGTTGATACTGGTAGAAAAAGGAGGCGCAAGACATCAAATTTCAAAGCGCCACAGGAGATCGAGAGGGACAAATCCTCATCCGACAGATCACCACCATCACGGCAGAGGCAGGGACTGCAGGGGCTATGCCCGGGCTGCCGCTCCAAAGTCGCCCTGAGGCTAATGCGAAGGTGAAAGGATTGCCTGGAAAGGTCTAGGGAGAGATGACAGACTGGGTCCACTTAAGTTTGCTTCATGCTCGTCACGGGAGAGCATCTTCATGGCGCTGCTTCCTTGTTTTGCACCAGCTGTGTTACACAAACTTTTCACCTCCCTGCTGGCAGCCTTTCGCTCATCTCGGAATCTGGTCGGCGACAGGACCTCTGCAGGCATTGTTTGGTGCTTCCGACTACCGGGGATGCTTGTTATGTCATGTTGACCGAATCACAAACTTCCATCAACTTTGTTTCGGTGTTCGACGCATTTGATTGCATTGAATTGGTGTGCAATCAATGCTTCTGATACTTCATCTTTGCACAGAGAGAGGCCAGAGGTTCTGCTGAATCGCTGCGCAGGAACCACATGGCTGGCCGACATTATTTGGAACATGACGAACGGCAGCCACTTTGGCCATTTCGTGTTTTAGGTTGCAGGGTTGTTTCTTCGCCGCTGTTTTGAAGCTGCAAGTGGTTCTCTGACAAGCCTTGCAAGCTTGTCGCCACTACTCTGACTCAAGCCGGCAATTGACGAGAGCCCGGCAGTGAGTGGCAGCAGCATCTACTGCTAAGACAATTGTTGCTGACGCTGTTGCTGCTGAGAAGTACTGCCGCTGCTGCTTCTGCCACTCCTACAGTGGTACATTGACGGCTCTATCAGGCCACAGCAACCAAACACAACATTCACGGCAAAAGCAACAGCGGCAACAACAACCGTTAGAGGACTTGGAGGAGCTGTTTTCTCGAGTATCCCACATGTAAGACCTCGCGAGCGGGCATCGACCTCCAAGCAATGCGAGAGGGAAACAAAAACCACCGCCACCAACAACCAACAACAACAACAACGCTACTCGCACGATGCAGCGTAAACGCGTGCTGCATGTTACCCAAGCAGTCTGATCCATTACATAACCATAGAAAAGCGTGTGCGTGCACTAGTCGGTTTCAGGAGCGGCAACAAAAAGTGCCTTCAAATCTGGCTCATTGGTTCTTTTTGTCAGACTTCGATCGCCCCAAACTTTCCAAACCTGTCTGTGTACTGTCGAGCTGTTGGTAAGCTCAATGCCCCATGTTTTGCGCATCCCACCTTTCGCAAGAGCATGAATATGCATGAAACACCTTAGGGCAGCTCAGGTTTCGGAAAAGCCTTGGGCCAAAAGCACAACAACACCAAGTCTAACGTGGGCGACCTTGTTGTTTGATGTTAGTGCTGCTGTTGGCTCCGACGCAAAGCAAGCCCGCTTAACCCATATGCCGCTAAATTCGTTGTTTACGAGGTTGAGGTTTCGCGGTTGACATGCCCAAGATGGGGGCTTTTGGAGTGCGGGAGATTCATGGCTTCTTCGAGGTGCTCAGTGCGAGGGGGGCCCCGCCTCCGCCGCCGGATGCACCGCGAGTTGGCATCGTCGGATCCGCAGAAGTGCAGGAGGCGCAGGCCTTGTTAACCCCGCACAGATCGAAGAAGCTTGTCAAATCAGCCGAGTAGACTACGCACATGCAGCCATTTTGGCACAGTCGGGGTGCAGGGCTGCAGGGCGTGGTTCCGAGAGGATGGAGGACACAAATCCAGTGTCCTTGGACATGATGACGTTGTGCGATGCCGGAGGGGAAGAGAGGCATGTAGCTACGTCCTCGATGGTTGCAGCCACGCAAATTGATCCAACGCAGATGGACGACAGCTCGCAGGAGCTCTTGAATCCGGAGCCAGGTGCGCTGACTGGAACTGTCTTCGAGACTCCTCCGCGATGCCGCCAGGTCGCGGAGATGGCCTCTGCGACGCAGACGACGATCGCTGCCGTGCTCGAGACGCCTCCGCGAACTCGCCAGCTCTCGCTGGAGGAACTGCAAACCCCTGAAGGAAAAGTTCGTCGCCGCAACAGCCCGGCGTCTGGGGATGCGAAGAGCAGCGACATCAGGAGAGCCTTAGCCGGTGTTTCCTCCCCAGCAGCTTCCACAGATCCATATCTGCTGGCAGACGCAGTGGCCTCGGGATCTGTTGACGCCCAGTCGGCGGAGATTCCTGTCGAGCAATTTCACCAGAAAGCCGTGTATGCCTTGTCGGAGCTGCCAGACGAAACAGGGCATATGATTGCTATGGTGTACCAGCTCTGCCTCTCTGAGTGCGAAGACAAGGGCGTGCTCGGGAAGAAGGGGGTGACCTCCAGCATCGTGGACAAGATTGTGGAGGGCTACAGAAAGCGCTACGACGAGGCACGATTCATGGCGAACCAGACCAGATTGCACGAATGGATGAGATCACAGTTGGTGCCAGAAAGAGCCCACGGCACATCCGTGGCACGGAGCCTTCCTCAGGCGACGCGGGTGCCGTGGAGACCCGTGATGGCCGACGTGAAGAAGGGGACTCGTGCGACGGGCTTCGCGAAGAAGAGGCCGCAAGGGAGTGACGCCGTCACGTAGCACGGGAATCCCGCATGGCACCGAAATCCCCCATACCACCGGAATCCCACATGGCATCGGAATCCCGCATAGCACCCGAATCCCACATGGCACCAGAATCTCACATGGCAACAGAATCCCGCATGGCACCAACATCCCACATGGCACCGAAATCTCACATGACACGGAAATCCCGCATAGCACCCAAAATCCCGCATAGCACCCAAAATCCTGCACAGCAGCAGAATCCCGCAGAGCACCGAAATCCCAATTCCAAAACATCGTCATCCCCTAGCACCCCCAATCCCAGGTAACACAGCATCCCCGACACACAGCACCCACATCTCACATGGCACCAAAATCCTACATGGCAGCAGAATCCCGCATGGCACCAAAATTCCACATGGCACCAGAATCTCACATGGCACCGATATCACTGCGCGCAGGCCCGCGTCAGCCTTGTCGGAGCTGCCAGACGAAACAGGGCATATGATTGCTATGGTGTACCAGCTCTGCCTCTCTGAGTGCGAAGACAAGGGCGTGCTCGGGAAGAAGGGGGTGACCTCCAGCATCGTGGACAAGATTGTGGAGGGCTACAGAAAGCGCTACGACGAGGCACGATTCATGGCGAACCAGACCAGATTGCACGAATGGATGAGATCACAGTTGGTGCCAGAAAGAGCCCACGGCACATCCGTGGCACGGAGCCTTCCTCAGGCGACGCGGGTGCCGTGGAGACCCGTGATGGCCGACGTGAAGAAGGGGACTCGTGCGACGGGCTTCGCGAAGAAGAGGCCGCAAGGGAGTGACGCCGTCACGTAGCACGGGAATCCCGCATGGCACCGAAATCCCCCATACCACCGGAATCCCACATGGCATCGGAATCCCGCATAGCACCCGAATCCCACATGGCACCAGAATCCCACATGGCAACAGAATCCCGCATGGCACCAACATCCCACATGGCACCGAAATCTCACATGACACGGAAATCCCGCATAGCACCCAAAATCCCGCATAGCACCCAAAATCCTGCACAGCAGCAGAATCCCGCATAGCACCGAAATCCCAATTCCAAAACATCGTCATCCCCTAGCACCCCCAATCCCAGGTAACACAGCATCCCCGACACACAGCACCCACATCTCACATGGCACCAAAATCCTACATGGCAGCAGAATCCCGCATGGCACCAAAATTCCACATGGCACCAGAATCTCACATGGCACCGATATCACTGCGCGCAGGCCCGCGTCAGCCTTGTCGGAGCTGCCAGACGAAACAGGGCATATGATTGCTATGGTGTACCAGCTCTGCCTCTCTGAGTGCGAAGACAAGGGCGTGCTCGGGAAGAAGGGGGTGACCTCCAGCATCGTGGACAAGATTGTGGAGGGCTACAGAAAGCGCTACGACGAGGCACGATTCATGGCGAACCAGACCAGATTGCACGAATGGATGAGATCACAGTTGGTGCCAGAAAGAGCCCACGGCACATCCGTGGCACGGAGCCTTCCTCAGGCGACGCGGGTGCCGTGGAGACCCGTGATGGCCGACGTGAAGAAGGGGACTCGTGCGACGGGCTTCGCGAAGAAGAGGCCGCAAGGGAGTGACGCCGTCACGTAGCACGGGAGTCCCGCATGGCACCGAAATCCCCCATACCACCGGAATCCCACATGGCATCGGAATCCCGCATAGCACCCGAATCCCACATGGCACCAGAATCCCACATGGCAACAGAATCCCGCATGGCACCAACATCCCACATGGCACCGAAATCTCACATGACACGGAAATCCCGCATAGCACCCAAAATCCCGCATAGCACCCAAAATCCTGCACAGCAGCAGAATCCCGCATAGCACCGAAATCCCAATTCCAAAACATCGTCATCCCCTAGCACCCCCAATCCCAGGTAACACAGCATCCCCGACACACAGCACCCACATCTCACATGGCACCAAAATCCTACATGGCAGCAGAATCCCGCATGGCACCAAAATTCCACATGGCACCAGAATCTCACATGGCACCGATATCACTGCGCGCAGGCCCGCGTCAGCCTTGTCGGAGCTGCCAGACGAAACAGGGCATATCATTGCTATGGTGTACCAGCTCTGCCTCTCTGAGTGCGAAGACAAGGGCGTGCTCGGGAAGAAGGGGGTGACCTCCAGCATCGTGGACAAGATTGTGGAGGGCTACAGAAAGCGCTACGACGAGGCACGATTCATGGCGAACCAGACCAGATTGCACGAATGGATGAGATCACAGTTGGTGCCAGAAAGAGCCCACGGCACATCCGTGGCACGGAGCCTTCCTCAGGCGACGCGGGTGCCGTGGAGACCCGTGATGGCCGACGTGAAGAAGGGGACTCGTGCGACGGGCTTCGCGAAGAAGAGGCCGCCAGGGAGTGACGCCGTCACGTAGCACGGGAATCCCGCATGGCACCGAAATCCCCCATACCACCGGAATCCCACATGGCATCGGAATCCCGCATAGCACCCGAATCCCACATGGCACCAGAATCCCACATGGCAACAGAATCCCGCATGGCACCAACATCCCACATGGCACCGAAATCTCACATGACACGGAAATCCCGCATAGCACCCAAAATCCCGCATAGCACCCAAAATCCTGCACAGCAGCAGAATCCCGCAGAGCACCGAAATCCCAATTCCAAAACATCGTCATCCCCTAGCACCCCCAATCCCAGGTAACACAGCATCCCCGACACACAGCACCCACATCTCACATGGCACCAAAATCCTACATGGCAGCAGAATCCCGCATGGCACCAAAATTCCACATGGCACCAGAATCTCACATGGCACCGATATCACTGCGCGCAGGCCCGCGTCAGCCTTGTCGGAGCTGCCAGACGAAACAGGGCATATCATTGCTATGGTGTACCAGCTCTGCCTCTCTGAGTGCGAAGACAAGGGCGTGCTCGGGAAGAAGGGGGTGACCTCCAGCATCGTGGACAAGATTGTGGAGGGCTACAGAAAGCGCTACGACGAGGCACGATTCATGGCGAACCAGACCAGATTGCACGAATGGATGAGATCACAGTTGGTGCCAGAAAGAGCCCACGGCACATCCGTGGCACGGAGCCTTCCTCAGGCGACGCGGGTGCCGTGGAGACCCGTGATGGCCGACGTGAAGAAGGGGACTCGTGCGACGGGCTTCGCGAAGAAGAGGCCGCAAGGGAGTGACGCCGTCACGTAGCACGGGAATCCCGCATGGCACCGAAATCCCCCATACCACCGGAATCCCACATGGCATCGGAATCCCGCATAGCACCCGAATCCCACATGGCACCAGAATCCCACATGGCAACAGAATCCCGCATGGCACCAACATCCCACATGGCACCGAAATCTCACATGACACGGAAATCCCGCATAGCACCCAAAATCCCGCATAGCACCCAAAATCCTGCACAGCAGCAGAATCCCGCATAGCACCGAAATCCCAATTCCAAAACATCGTCATCCCCTAGCACCCCCAATCCCAGGTAACACAGCATCCCCGACACACAGCACCCACATCTCACATGGCACCAAAATCCTACATGGCAGCAGAATCCCGCATGGCACCAAAATTCCACATGGCACCAGAATCTCACATGGCACCGATATCACTGCGCGCAGGCCCGCGTCAGCCTTGTCGGAGCTGCCAGACGAAACAGGGCATATCATTGCTATGGTGTACCAGCTCTGCCTCTCTGAGTGCGAAGACAAGGGCGTGCTCGGGAAGAAGGGGGTGACCTCCAGCATCGTGGACAAGATTGTGGAGGGCTACAGAAAGCGCTACGACGAGGCACGATTCATGGCGAACCAGACCAGATTGCACGAATGGATGAGATCACAGTTGGTGCCAGAAAGAGCCCACGGCACATCCGTGGCACGGAGCCTTCCTCAGGCGACGCGGGTGCCGTGGAGACCCGTGATGGCCGACGTGAAGAAGGGGACTCGTGCGACGGGCTTCGCGAAGAAGAGGCCGCCAGGGAGTGACGCCGTCACGTAGCACGGGAATCCC